AAATATAAACAGGGCTTCTAATAGCCAGGCTAGCCTCCTGCTGAGGTGAAAGGAAAACAAAGAAAGGAGCTCTATGGGAGACAGCAAATTCAACTCACAGATAGTGAAAAGGACAAAAGTAAGAGCTGAGAGTCGACGGTGATAAGACCTAGAAGCAAAGCCGTGGAGAAAGAGAGAGAGAGCCATGCCAGATCTCTGCTTGGATCCAAGGCTGTAGCTAAGGGAGAAATAAAACCTGCTCTTTAATGATAAATGGGAACAAACAGCAATGCGCAGAAAACTCTATTGCTGTTTGTTCAGATTAAAAAAGGCTGTGGGGCAATCGGAAATTATCCAGGGGCACATTATTATTATTATTATTATTATTATTATTATTATTATTATTTGCTTATATCCCACCCATCTGGCCAGGTCTCCCCAGCCACTCTGGGCGGCATCCAACAAGATATTAAAAACACAATAAAACATCAAACATTAAAAACTTCCCTAAACAGGGCTGCCTTCAGATGTCTTCTAAAAGTCAGATAGTTGTTTATTTCCTTGACATCTGATGGGAGGGTGTTCCAAAGGGTGGGCATCACTACTAAGAAGGCCCTGTGCCTGGTTCCCTGTAACTTGGCTTCTCGCAGTGAGGGAACCGCCAGAAGGCCCTCGGCGCTAGACCTCAGTGTCCGGCAGAATGATGGGGGTGGAGATGCTCCTTCAGGTATACTGAGATATATTCAATTTAGGGTGTACAAAATTTCTAACCAGTACTCCACGCTGCATCATTTTAAGTTATGGAATTTTTGATGTCAAACAGGTACGCCATTGTTTGTTTCTGTATCTCTCAAACATTGAATTGTTATATGTAATATATATGTAATAAAACATATGTAATAAAATTAAATTTAGGGGGGTATTGCTGAATGCAAAGATATTAAGGCTAGAAAGAACTATTCTTTTGTTCACTTTGGTTATATATATATAGAGAGAGAGAGAGAGAGAGAGAGAGAGAGAGAGAGAGAGAAGGAGACTGGCATTTGTATAACTCTCCATTTGGCAAATAGACTCATGGCCTTTAGATTCTCTTGTTATGGAAGTGATGTAATGAAATGGGGGTATATTGGAAATGGAAAGGTGTCAGAGTTATATTGTCTAGCGAAATGACCTTTGGGTTTATAACTCTCCATCAGGAGTAGTCGAAGAGCCAAACCCTGCTCTTTATGAATAAACCACAGTGAAAGAAAATATATGACCCTCTCAGTAGGAAGCCATGCTTCAGTTCTGTTTTGGATCCAATGTGTGTAGGCTGGCCTCACACCTAGAAAATAGAAATTTGAAAACAACCCTGTCTGTAAAGCTGAAATAGTTCAAAAGAATCCTTTGGAGAATATTTATAGGGATGCACATATTTGAAGAACTGGTGTGACATGATTTGTTTTCCTTTCTCAATAATGAAAAATAAGGTGCAGAAAAGAGCAGCTAAATCACAATTTCCCAAACTTGGGTCTTCCGCTGTTTTTGCACTATTGTCCCCACCATTCCTGACTAGCTAGGGATGATGGGAGTTGTGATCGAAAAACAGCTGGAGACCCAAGTTTGAGAAACACTGAGCTAAAATGACCAAGGGGTTGGAGCAACTCCCCTTTGAGGAAAGCTTACAATATTTGGGTTTTCTTAATTTAGGAGAAAAGGCAAGGAGAGGCATGAGAGATGTGCATAGAGAGAAGTTTCTCTGATAATACAGTGGTACCTCAGTTTACAAACTTAATCCGTTCCCGAAGTCCGTTCTTAAACCAAGGCGCACTTTACCTAATGAGGCCTCCCACCGCCGGTGCCCTTCCACCGTTCGGTTTCTGTTCTTAGACCAAGGTAAAGTTTGTAAACCGGGACACTGCTTCCAGTTTTGCGGTGTTCGTAAACTGAATCGTTCGTAAACAGGGCTGTTCTTAAACCGAGGTACCACTGTACTAGAACCTTCAAAGAACCTGGATGTTGGACAATTCGGGACAGACAAAAATAAGTACTTATTCACACAGCTCATACTTAAACTGTGGGATTTGCTACCCGAAAAGGTAGTGGTTGCCCCAAACATGGAAGGGTTAAAAGGGGATTAGCCAAATGATGGAGGAAGAGGCCACCAATAGCTAGCAGCAATGATGGCTGCATCCTTTTTCCATTATTGAAGGTGGTATGCATCTGAATACTAGTTGCTAGGGAGTACAAGTGGGGAGAATGCTGCTCTGCTCATGCCCTGTTTATAGGCTTCACACAGGTATCTTGGTCGCTACAGTGATAACAAGATATTGTACTAAGTGGCTCACACCCAGAAGGGCTGGGTGGAGAATATAGAGGTGCCATTTAAATATAGCTCTTCAACCTATCATCGCAGGTGCTTTATTTTCAAGCTATAATTACCAGCTATGATGATTTTATGAAGCACTAATAAACTTTAAGCACTCTGACAGGAAAGCAAAGGATGCAGAGGGGAGAAGCTGAGAAATATTGGGGGAGCAGCAGGAAGAAGCAGCACCAGGGGAGAGATAGCCGACAGACTCAGTGTCTCTTGAAAGCATTTCTGACACACACACCACTCCCAGGACCGGGTGTGCCTTGAGAATAGTAGAACAGTAAGCTCAGAAGCAGAAAGCACAGATCAGCCGGCACAGGGATGACATAGAATAGAAGGGACTGAGCAGGTGGGACTTTCCTTGGAGCAAACTCCAGTATCTAAGAGAGATCACATTCCCTCGTCTCTCTGTGTGAATATTGAATAAACTACAGTGGTACCTCGGGTTACGAACTTAATTCGTTCCGGTGGTCCATTCTTAACCCAAAACTGTTCTTAACCTGAGGCGCGCTTTCGCTAATGGGGCCTCCCGCTGCCACCGGCGCGCAATTTCTATTCTCATCCTGGGGCAAAGTTCGTAACCTGAGGTACTACTTCCAGGTTAGCGGATTTTGTAACCCAAAGTGTTTGTAACCAGGGGTACCACTGTACTTCGTAAGAACTCTTCCTGCTTCTTGGCATCCCACCGTGGGAGGGTTAGGCTTCTGCCATCAACACCCACTCGTCTGTTGGAAAGGCTCCTGCAGGGCTTTTTTGGAGCACCTGCCCCATCCCTGTACTTCCCTTTCCTAGGAACAGAGCTTTTCCTTGGAGCAAGGCCCTTGCAAGCAACTTTGCTAGAAATTCTGTTTAAAATGAGTTAAAAGGTTAACGTTGCAATTTTAAAACAGAACTTACAGCCACTGCAACAAAGTGGAGGCAGCGCCATCACTTTTTCGGGCCTCCTCATCCGCAGTGTCTCACCCTGAGGAAGGACCTCTGTGGTCAGAGAAGGACCTCTCCAGAGCCTGAGAAAGCATCACTGCTAGGCTGCAGTTCTGACGTGTGGGGCAACTGCGCTCATAACCACAAGTTCCTGGTAGTTCCCGACAGTTCCAAGCCATCTCTTAAAAAATTAAAACCAGAAGCTGAGAGAAACAAAGGGGGAAAGATATCTAAAACCATGGGTAGGCAAACTAAGGTCTGGGGTCCGGATCCAGCCCAATCGCCTTCTAAATCTGGCCCACGGACGGTCCAGGAATCAGCGTGTTTTTACATGAGTGGAATGTGTCCTTTTATTTAAAATGCATCTCTGGGTTATTTGTGGGACCTGCCTGGTGTTTTTACACAAGTAGAATGTGTGCTTTTATTTGAAATGCATCTCTGGGTTATTTGTGGGGCATAGGAATTTGTTCATTTTATTATTATTTTTCAGAATATAGTCCGGCCCCCCACAAGGTCTGAGGGACAGTGGACTGGCCCTCTGCTGAAAAAGTTTGCTGACCCCTGCCGAAAACGAAAGGTTGTTGTTGTTGTTGTTTATTAATGGTAATAAAAACCAGAGCTAACAAGAAGCACCATTTATTTAGTATGCAGTTCTCTGTAAAATGCATTCTAATGAGTGCAAAGGTCCTCACATCTACTGACAACAGTGAAAATTATAAAACCATTTTGCATCGTTTCGGCTCTAACGCCACTCCCTCGTGGGCAAATTTTGCAAATTACCGTTCCTCTGCTTTATAACCACATAAACCTCTGCCTTCTTTCCATCTTCTTTCTCATCCGTCACCTCTGATAAATAAGAGTGATGTGGGGCTGTGTTATCAGGTTATAGATGTGTTTGATTTCAAGCCTCCTCTCGGGAAAAGTAGTTACAGCCAAGTTAACAAGCAGAATGTCATTAAGAACTGCAGGAAATGTGAGTGGGTGTGAGCCGATAGGAAAAGCAGGAATGCCTAAAAGCCGAGGTACTTAAGGGCAGAGGTCACTGGGGAGCAACCTATGCAATTGATCCATTTTCATGATCTTTGCCAGTTTTCTGAGAGTGTCCTGACTTCTTTTTAAGATGGAACTCAAACATTGTTGGATATTTTTAACTAGCAAAATGCATGTCCTCATGATGCAGAAGGGAGTGGCTATGCTGGCACCACTGGCCTTCACCCAACAGCTTTCAGCCATAGAAGTGATGGGCACCTGGACTTCTGCTTGAGGCGCCACGGAAGATGGCCGACAGTACCATCGCTCCAGCTCCCACGGGGTAATTAGAGGCTGAGATGGGAGCAATCACCCTCCCAAATTCTTCCCGGTGTAAGGGAAGATGCAGTCTCATCCGCGGATGCCCAATAAACCACCCCCAAGTTCGTAAAGAAGGAGGGGTGGGGGCACTGGATGGAAAGCCCCCATGGAGTTCGGATCTCCTGGATGCTGTCCCCGCAAGCGCACCAAGTTCCATTTCTTAAGATGAAAATTTGGATTTAAGTTTTGGACATGCTTCAAGTGAGGAGAAGAAAATTAATCTGCCAGTTAAGCCAGCCACTGAGGTGCCAAGAGTGACGGAGAGGAAGAAAGAATAACATCTAAGAATAACATCTAAGTCAGTATGTTGGAACGGAATGGAAAAGGAGGAGGGGTAAAGCTTTTTTTTTTTTAAACTATGATTTATTACAATACCTGACAAACCGCCCCCCCCCCCGAAGAACCGTTTACATTATTTACAGCAAGTGAGATGGGAAAATATAAACTGTGTGGAAATAATAATACTCTATAACTAAAGCTTTTGTTTTTTGAAGTGCATGGAAGAAGATAAAAGACCCTCCAAATATTGATATTAGAAAGAAGTAGGATCTCGTTAGCCACTGGAGAGACTTCAAAAAACTTTGGAAAGACCGAGCTGCAGAGATAAATCGTCATAGGCGGAGGTGAGCTCTTAATTTGTTATTATATCTCCCCTGGAAAGGCTAATGTTTGATGCAACCGGTCTGGGAAAATTAATGAGCAAATACCTAGATTTGATTTCATCAGAACTGAGAGAAGATGGCGTCTGCCAGCAGCAAAATGACTTTTGGATTGATTTGGCATAAACACCAGCATGTGAGGATATACTGCAACAATAGGCTTATAAGCTGCAACAATAGGAGAGTCAAACATACAAAATTCACACAGAAGCACATCATTGCTTACTCAGTAAGAAAAAGATGAGTGAAAGTGCAGCATATCGCTTCTATTGAAACAGACTGTGCTGGTCCTGTGGGTTACCTGAGAGGCGAGGTCCAAGTCCGGTCCGTGGTCAAAGGTGCGATGTGGAGGCAGTCCGTAGTAGCTGAAGCTGGGTGCAGGGCAGGGAGTCGGGTGAGGTCAGGAACTCTAGCAGAAGAGCAGGACAGGGTCAGGCAGGAACAGGCTACAAACAATGTTGCTCCCGCAACTTGGGACTGGGGCTGGCTGGCTTTTATCTGCCCCAAGGCATAGGGCGGCCCCGATCCTCTGGTGACTCACCTCTCCTGGCCTGGAGGCGAGCACTCCTCCTGCAGAAACTTAGTTCCCTCCACCTCTCTGCCCTGAGCCTCTGTAGCTCAGGAGAGGCTGGAGGGTTACCGGACCCAGAGTCAACCTCAGCTTCCTCTGATGGGGCTGAGAGTGGAGCACCTGCAGGCAATGGGTTATCGATCACCTCCGGAGCCAGAGTGGATTCAGCTGGTGTCTGCTCCTGAGGATCCGGCACAGGTGAGGACCCTTCAGGCTCATGCCAAAGCCCCGGCTCAGCTGGTTCTGAAGGCGGGGAATCCTTTGCAGGCTGGGATCCCTCAGGTTCAGCATCAGAATCTGAATCCCAGGCCATCACACAGACATAATATCTGGAAACACAAAACCTCCAGGTCTCTGCTGGACAGCTCAGGAGTTTTAGTTCAGTCAAGAGTTCTATATTTTCAAAAAGTCTCAGAACAGAAATTACCATATTTTTCGCTCTATAAGACGCAACAGACCACAAGACGCACCTAGTTTTTGGAGGAGGAAAACAAGAAAAAAAAAATCTGAATCTCAGAAGCCAGAACAGCAAGAGGGATCGCTGCGCAGTGAAAGCAGCAATCCCTCTTGCTGTTCTGGCTTCTGGGATAGCTGTGCATCCTGCCTTCACTTCATAAGGCGCAAACACATTTCCCCTTACTTTTTAGGAGGGAAAAAGTAAGTCTTATAGAGCAAAAAACACGGTAGTTTTGGATTCAGAGTGTTTTCTGTATTAACTGTGAATATCAGCTGACAGAGTACATATAAACAGAGTTAAGAAGCCTAAGAAGGTACAAATAATAAAATTATTATTATTAAGAAGGAATTGAAACCTACCCCAAATAGGTTTTTCATCTCCTACTGAAAGAGAGAAGAGAAACTTACCAGTAGACCATTCAAACATTCTTTCCTCAATTTTAAGTCCTACGTTTTATTTTCTGGCATATAACAATCTTGGTAACAGTTGCATCCTTGCCAGCTAATAAAGAAAACATAACTTCATAATACCCATGATAGCTACTGCAGGGGGATTTTACTGGGCCTGACTTGAAAAGTTGAAGAAGTCCAGCTGGAGGCGAACGGGCAAATACCGAAAATCAGGCAGGAATGGGAACCCGAAAGTTTGCACAGCTGTGGCTTCTCTAGTAGCTTATAACATGTCTGCTAAATTTTAAGATCCAACATATGGGCCTTATTTGAAAGTTTCAGTTAGGACATGACACATGAAATGAATGGCTAAGGAACCAAAAGGGTGGGCACCCAGAACTGCCCTTCTGAAATCCAAAATGTATCTTTTAGATTTCTCTCAGATCAATGCAACATCATTTAACCACTTCCCCTCTCTCCCTCTCTCTCTCTCTCTGTGTGTGTGTGTGAGAGAGAGAGAGAGAGAGAGAGAGAGCCCATGGGGTTTTTTGGGGAGGGGGTTGCTATTATTGATGTTAATTTTGTGGAAATTGTTCAATTTGGTTCCCTAATTTTAAAGTTTTATTTATTGTTTTTGACTACATTGGTTATGTTTGTAATTATGTGATTTTTTTTCATGTTTAAAGCCACACTGAGCATGGTTTTGGCTATGGAAAGGTGGGATACCGACAAAATTATATATATATATATGCGTGTGTGTGTGTGTGTGTGTGTGTGGACACAGAGCTATGAACAGCTATAGACGTGGTACATTTGTTCCCATCTTCCCCCTTGAAATTCTGTGTTGCCATTTCTTTTTAGGTATCACTCTTTCTAACACCAAGATCACCAGGAGTGTCAACAAGATTGGAACTAAGGAAACAAGAGGGAGGTACCAGGGTGCATGGGAGGTTTGCAGAAGCACAAAATATTTTTTACACAAAGACCCAAGGGAGCAGCCACTTCCCAGAAGACCCCATAAAGGCTGAACATCTTGGCAGCCACACAGTGTTGAGTGCTGGGCAGAGAAAACAGAAAACCGTTGGAGGGGAGGAACAACGAAAATGCACCACCCAGTGTCATTGTGACGTCAGGTGATTGGTACATGGGCGACACCACTCATGGGTCAACCTTAGCCCATGGACTGTGTGGCAGAGATTGGGATCCATTTTTAAATCACTTTCTTCGCCCTTGAAATAGGAGGGATGATAGCCTTTCAAAACAGAGGACTGTGTTATGAAGATGGCATGCGGTGCAAAGAAGGAAGGAAGGAAGGAAGGAAGGAAGGAAGGAAGGAAGGAAGGAAGGAAGGTGTGTCTCCTATATGTGGAAAGGTGGTAAATAGTTCTTTATAAATAAAATAAAAAATAGCTTCCGCAATTTGTTGCAGCTATAGGTAATTGAGAATGATGACAGTACAGTTTCCTAAGGTTCCCCAGGGTTTTTCTCTTGTCCCTCCCCACTTTTTCTCCCTGTTCTCTTACGCCTCTTCTCCATGGGTTATTTGTAGCTTTGTTGGGAAAGGAACCTTCATTACAGCATGCAGGATGATTTTTCAAGATGTCTGTGCAAAGTCTGTGCTCTCCCTTTGCTTTTCTCCCCTCTTCTACACACAGCACCATCTCCTGAATGATAAATATGCTTGTGATCATCTTGGGCTAACTAGCAACGGCTTTCTCTTTATTGCAATATTTATGAAAGCTTTTAAAAACATGATTAAGTGAAAGCCTTCCAGTGGTTGTGGTCATTATTTCTTCAGCATCCAGATATTAAAAAGCTACCTAATATTTTGTCTACATAACTTGCCGTTTCCTCTCTTTCTTTCCTTTTGCTGTGCTGAGTCTGATCCACTCAGTCCTAATTCTGGAAAAGCCACCGTTGCGTTACTTATTCTATCAATCGTCTCTTGAGTATGTTGCTCACTTCATGCGCACCAGACCAGTTGTACGTGTTAGAATTCCTGCTCCATGATTGCAGTCATGGGATTGTTGTCTATCACATGACGGTATATGTTTTGACTCCACAGAGTGGGAAGTGACAAAGACAGGATGTTTGTATTACTGTATTCTGTGAAGTGGGACTATTGTCCTTTCTTCTTTTTCTCTTTGCTGTCTGATGCTAGATAGAGAGGGAGCCATGTTGCAGTGCTCTGTGTATGTTTATATGTAAATAAAGTAGATTAGCCAAAATGCTGAGTTGCTGAGGTCTGTTATGCAAGATGTGCAAACTCTGTGGCTCCCTAAGTGTGCCGGTGTCGGTTGGCATCGGTCGCTGTGCTGTTCGGGCTGAAGAAAGCTTTTGAAGCTCCTGAACAATTGACCAGGAGGGAGAGAACATGCCAGTTGGGCATGTGTCTCTACCAGGGTCCTACTCGAGTGCAGGCTGAGCTCCTGACAGTACGTCCATTGAGTCTTCTTGTCCTCTTTTGTCGGTTCTGGATTGTGGAACCTCTTCACCAATGAATTTTCCAGGGATGTTTTGCTAGCTCTGGAGGCTTATGCAGGTCCTGCCACTGTTTCATAGAGGTCTTCTGCATCGATGTGGCCTGATGTTTCACTTCAAGACATGTGAACGCCACAGAATTACCAGACCTGTGGCAGAATGACAACATATCTCAATATGTTCCCATTCTACTCACACCAGAAGCATAGATTTGCCACCAAATTCACAAGCAACGCAGAATGGTGACTGCCAACCACAGATGAAACAATCTATCTTTTTGCCACAACCTTGGTGATGAATCCTTCATGAAAACATGAGAAGAACTCTTCTGGATCAGGCCACAGGTCCATCTAGGCCAGAATCAACCAGATACCTATGGGATGTTCACAAGCTCTAGGATGCTCCTCCCAGCTTGGGACTCCCTGTAAGTGGAACACCGAACATTTTTACACATCACATGGGAAGACAGGCGAACTAATGCCAGTGCACTGGAAGAAGCAAAAATCACCAGTGTCGAAGCGATGATTTTTCAACATCAACTTCGTTGGACTGGTCATGTTGTGCGGATGCCTGATGATCGTCCTCCAAAGCAACTACTCTATTCCGAACTTTAAAATGGGAAGCATAACGCTGGTGGTCAACAAAAGAGGTTCAAAGACTCTCTCAAAGCAAATCTTTAAAAATGTACTATAAACACCAACAACTGGGAAACATTGGCCTGAGAGCACTCCAGTTGGAGAACAGCCTTTACCAAAGGTTTCTTGGGTTCAGAGCCATAGCTATGTGATCTTGCGCCCCCGGCAGAACCGTCCAGATTGCACCACATAGCCACAAATTAGCTCTTCTTTCCACCTCTCCTCCAAACGTCCCCATTCAATTCACACTCTATTTTTTAAAATAATTTTTATTACATTTTACACTTTGATATTCAACACATTTATCATATATTAAAAAATAAGAGGGGAAATTAAAACAACACACACCCCACCTCAAGTTGACTTCCCTCAACTTCCACTTCTGGTTTTTTAATAATTTGCTACTTCTGCTTAATTTTTTATCTTACTTTTCATCTTTTCGCTAAATGCTCTTAAATTCTTATCATTTTTATACCAGATTTTCTTCATATCACATCTTACATTTCATTAATTTTAATATTGTTATCTCTTAACCTTTACTCTTGTTCCCCTAGTTATAAGTGTTCCCTCAAACCCTGCTAGTGAGTCCATTTCTTTACAGTGTTTCTGTAAATTCACCCTCTATTTAAAACCATTTCTTATGAGGTAATAATCAATATTTATATTTATGGACATTTTTTTAATCTGATTTTGCACCCTTCCCCCATCATCTGTGCCCCTGGCGGCGCACCCCCTAGCTACAGCCCTGCTTGGGTTTTGAAGATACTCGAGCTCAGGACAAAAGGGAGAAACGTACTAAGAGGAAGGCATGCTTGGCAAACCCTCACCATGATCAACTCCCTCCCGGAAACCAATGTCCCCACTGTGGAAGGACGTGTGGATCCAGAATTGGCCTCCACAGTCACTTATGGACACACTTTTAAAACCGAGTTTGTGGAAGACAATCTTACTCGGCTACGAGTGATCACCAAAGAAGAAGAAGAAGTGGAACACCTATAATGTTTGGCCAATACCTGAGGCTTATCCTATCTGTATTTGCCATCGCTTTCACCTCTATAAAAGAATCCCTAGCTGTAGGAAAAAGGGGCATAGGAGCTATGCTTGCTCTCTTTTTATGTGTTTTGCATTTGACTGTAAAAGATAAACAATCAGGCAAAGGAGCAGGGCCAAGAAACCTGAGTCACAACAATAATTATCATTTCCAGACTGCTGTTATGTGTTTCCCATTAAATCTGTATAGCAGTTATTAGGAGTGTTTTACAATGGCTGCGAGAATTGCTATTTGACCCTGTCTAATTGCCATTCTGACTCTTTTAAAAACTAGTTTGTAAACATTTTCAGTCATGAAAAATTGGTTTGTGGTTGCCGTAGGAGGACTGTTTTGAAAGGCTTTATTCTCTTGACAGAAAGTGGCCGTGGGAAATATGCCTTCTCATGGAGGGCGTGAGGAGGACAGCAGGGGGTTGAAAAAATTACTGAAACAGCAACAATGCCTATTTTAAAATAATGATTTAAATATATATTTTTAAAGTTAAATGGTTGAATATCTGGTTAAATGTCAAGCGCTCTACAAAGGCTAGTTTAATAAATGCTCTCAGTACTAGGATGAAGTTAATTGAGTCTCAGTCTTAATGCTGACTCTGATTGATCTCCTTTGGTGCTTGATTCACACATCCTGGAACAGCTGCAGAACATGCTCTGAAAGTTCACAATTAATATAATTTTAATTAAATTTTCTGTTTTACAATTTCAAATAAACATTTCACATGCTTAAGCTATCAATGACTTCCCTTCTTCCCTTTCCATGGTTTGTTTTACATATCCCTGCACATTTTACAAAAAAAAAACCTATATCAATCGGTTTTCCATTACTGCATCCATCAAAACTTATTTTCACTGTTAAATTTATCTTAAAACTGCCAGCATTTTCAGCTGTAAACAATTATTTTCCAAATATTCAGTAAACTTTTTCCAATCTTCTTTAAACGTATGTTCTTCTTGTTCTCTTATTCCAGGCACAACCAACTCCCAAGAGACTGGGATCTACTCCCAGTATTAAAAAAGCAGGCAGTTATCTACCCACAGTCAGAGTGGTTGAGCTTTCCTTGGGGAGGATTGCCCAAAGTTATTGAGCTTTTTTGAGGGGAATTGCCAGAAATGTTGAGCTTTATTTGGGGGGGGGCTGGCAGAAGTAATTGAGCTTTGGGGGGGAGAATGGCAAGAGTTGTTGAGTTTTTCTGGGGGAGGGTTGCCAAAAAACACACAAACATCAGTCCAGCTGTGCTGGTCCCGAGGATTAACCGTGCGGCAAGGTCCGAGTCCAGTCCAGTCAAGGGTGCAGTATGGAGGCTGTCCATCAAAGCTGAAGCTGGGTCCAAGGCAGGGAGTTGGGTGAGGTCAGGAACTCTAGCAGAAGAGCAGGACAGGGTGTTGCTCCCGCACCCTGGGACTGGGGCTGGCTGGCTTTTATCTGCCCCAAGGCATAGGGCGGCCCCGGTGACTCGCCTCTCCTGGCCTGGAGGTGAGCACTCCTCCTGCAGGAACTTAGTTCCCTCCGCCTCTCTGCCCTGAGCCTCTGCAGGTCAGGAGAGGCTGGAGGGTTACCGGACCCAGAGGCAACCTCAGCTTCCCCTGCCGGGGCTGAGAGTGGAGCACCTGCAGGCAATGGGTCCTCCATCACCTCAGGAGCCAGAGCAGACTCAGCTGATGCCTGCAGCTGAGGACCCAGCACAGGTGAGGACCCTTCAGGCTCATGCCCCAGCCTCGGCTCAGCTGGTTCTGGAGGCAGGGACTCCTGTGCAGGCTGGGATTCCTCAGGTTCAGCCTCTGAGTCCGAATCCCAGTTCATCACACCAGCACTGATAATAGCACTCAGCGATAAAGCAAACTAACATGTGCAGAATCACTAACAACATCAATCTAACAACCGCCCACTTGACGCTGCAGGAAAAAAAGGGTCCGGCAACATTAATTGTGCTTACCGCCAGCTGAAACTTTCCATGTAACGATGGCAATAAAGAAAGGACACAGCACCGGGGAAGGGGGGCAACAACTACCATGCGATTGACTACGAACCCCATGGCGATCTACCTGGAGACCTGAAGGAGCGTCTCCACCCCCATCATTCTGCCCAGACACTGAGGTCCAGCACTGCGGGCCTTCTGGCAGTTCCCTCA